TGTATATATATATATATATATATATATATATATATATATGTATATATATACACACACATGAATATACTTCTACACACGCATAGATAGACAATAGGCATATGTAGATAAAAGTACATGTATACATACACATATATACGAATGATAAATATTATAAACATTGTGTAATGAAGCTTGTACATGCAACGGATTATTTCGGAGGTCGACCAGAGTACAAAGCGTAGATTTAGTTTGGCCTCGGAAGTACTCCATACGCACGAAATCGAATCGATGTCATCGACGAAAATGTTAGTACCGAAACATATGTTTAACAAACAAAAGTACGCCTAGCTGTAGAGACTAAAGGACCGCCATCGTCACCGAATTGCCGACGGTGTCGCGCCGGTCGGGAGAGCGGATTGTCGTCTATTTCTCCGTTTTCGACAATAATGATTGAAAGTCACGGCGGACAACGATTCAGGGCGTGCGAAACGTCTCTAGCAAGAATTCGAATTTACACATTTCCGTTGAATCTCCAATGAGATCGAGGAAAAGGGAGAGATGCGGTCGGACGACGGTCGAGTGAAGTAATTCAGGCGACATTTGTGATACTTGACTCGACGTGTTAGACCGCCGCGAGGAGTGAGGAAGATACGCTGATTTCGTGTAGAGAGGAAAATTCCAGCTCTCGATCGACGCGACGTACCACTCGACAGATCACACCGAACATACGTCTAGGCTACCGAAAATTCTAATCTCCTCGCGATGCAGCTCGTGACTAGCGAAGACCTCTGTCGTGGAAAGCGCATAACGCAAAAGAGAAAACAGAAGAAAGAAAAATAAGAACTTAAGTTTAATCTGCAGCGTGCTCTTTGCCTCCTGTTTCTTGTTCTCTGTCTTTGGCTTAAAGCTTAATCTACAATGTGCTGTTCGTTCTCTGTCTTTGTCTGGCTTAAAGCCTGATCTACAATATGTTGTTTACGTTCTGTTTCTTGTCTTCTGTCTCTTTCTGACTTAAACTTTAAATCTTAAACTAAAAAAAGACAGAGAACAAGAAACAGGAAGTAAAGAACACATTGTAGGTCAGGCTTAAGTCTTAAGATTTGAATCAGAAAGAAATAAAGAAACAAGAAGCAAAGATTGTAGATTAAGCTTTAAGGTTTGAGAAAAGAGATAAAGAGAAAGAAACAGAAAGCAAAGAATGCATTGTAGACCAAGCTTAAGAGAGAATTTACACTTTGTGGCAGAAAGCAGAAAACTAGAAATTAATCAGAACTCGCGCTGATAGGAAAGCAGAAACTCGACTACTAATGACCACCAGTGCAAGTTCTGATTTCTGTCATTCTGTGTTTTTCTGTTAAGCTGTGAATTCTCCCTAAGAAGAAGCAAATGGAAGGAGAATCGAATGCAAATCGTGAAAACAGCCGGATTCGTGTCCGTGTTTCCGAGGAATTCTTCGCTAGTCACGTGCTTCTCGTTCTTCCGATAATAGGGGTCTTACTAATCGGTGACGATTTACTTAACCATTGAAGGGCGTTTCTGAATTTTTTAAGTCGCGCATCGACGTTAAAGTGCATATATCCTGGGCGTAAAAAGTCTATTTGATATTTATATTTTAATACACACACGGGCCGATTACATTTAGTGTATTGTAATTATCGAAAATATTAATTAACATGCCCGGCCGAGCGTTTACGCACGTCGCAGATTCCGCCGGCGGTACGTATCGATCGAGACTCGAAAAAATCGATCGGCAGAATCGGAAAGAGAACGATCGCGGAGGACGAGGTGTGCAAACGGTCGGACGGGCAAATCGCAATTTTCTGTATATAGATAGATATATATATATATATATATATATATATATATAATTGTAGTGTAATAATCAAACACTAAAGACTAATGCTTAAAGTGATCGATTGGACTCCGTTGTAGCTCGGAGTCGCATAAGTGTATTCGTGTTATTATACAACGTAAACGATACTTGAAAAAGAAAGATAGAGAGGGTTAGAGAAAGAGAGAGATAGAGAGCGAGGTAAAATAAATTAACACGGAAAAGAAAGTGAAGAGGGAAGCAGAGACAAGACAGATTCGACAAATCGATACAGATCGAGTACACGCAGCGATACAGACGTTACTGTGTGTTAGATCATAAATAAATGTGAATGTTCGCGCATCGACGCGGGCAATCTCTGAACTGAAAATTGAGTAGTGTTAAGAGCAATTTGGGACTTTTTCTTTCATTTCTTCTTCTTCTTCTTCTTCTTCTCTCTTTGTATGTTCTGTTCCTTTTTTGTGTATGTTTTTTTTCTAATGTTCTCTCCTTAATTTTGTGTACGTCTCGAGAAATCCCGTTTCCACCAATAATAGCCCAGCAAGTACGATGACATCAGTGACGTCATTGAGACGTCATTAGGACGTCGTTTGCCGTCATTAAAAAGTCATTATGTTTGCTGGGGATCCGCTCGATATAATAATCGGGTCGATAAATCAACGGAATTTCCCGTTAAGGCCTCTGTCTCTTCCTGTTTGTGTGTGTCTGTGTGAGTATGTGTGTGTGTGTGTCCTTTATCTATCCTTTGTTATAAGAGTTATTCCTGTCCTGTTCCGTCGAATAGTGTTAAGCGCGCTCTTCCTTTACTTGCGTGTGTTTCTTTTCCTTTCTTATTAGTATTTATATTTAATCGCGCACTCTATACGCGATTCCGGCTTGCGTCGATAATTTGTAGCACAAGCCAAAAGGGGAGTGTGCGGAGTCGCGACATTTCAGAACGTTTGGATCTATAGCGTTATCGCGGTTTGAAATTCGAGATAGGTCTTGATAATAGACTCTGTGTGTGCGTACATGCGTGCGTGCGTGTGGATTTTGAGTCTAGAAGAAGCTAGTTGCGGAGTGATTCGAAATTCTAGCTTTGGCATAACTGTGAAATTTTTGATTTGCATCCACGTATAAACGTCAATTATTTCGATATCTACGTCTCGTAAGAGCAGTGGCTGGAAATCGCGCGTGCTGATTATGCCTAAATCACAGTTTGTCGCACCTAAAGAGTCGACCGTTCGCACTGTGCCGAATGTTAATCGGGGGTAGCGGTACTGCGACACTGCGATTTTTTGGAATGCATGTGTCCGTGAAAATTCGAAAGGGGGTTTCATTCTGATACGTATCTGCTACACGCCTAAGTCCTCGATAAAAAAAAAAAGCAAAAGAAAACGCACGATTTCACCGGAAGGAAGTGATCAAAATGAGACATCAATCAAAAAGACCTCGCGTTTGTAATACCTAGCTGAAAGAAAACTCGTAGGCAATAGGAAAAAAAGAACTCGAGCCGTCTCTTTTTATACAATATTGCATCGAATTCAATGATATGCGTTACGCGATTTATACTTAGAGGGGGGTGGAGAGGGCGATCACTTGCTCTCAGATGTTTCGCCAGATTTGTTCTATATGTCCCTTTGCTCTCATACATTCACACAAACACACGCACATGTACACACATATGCGATTTTCATCAAAGAGGAGATTTGTAAGCGCCTCAAAATAGAACTTGCCTTGATTACAAAACGAAACAAACTTTCTGTCTTAGGTTATCCTATGAGTAGTGTCGTTTTTTATCTTACTTTAAGCAAATATAGATATTTAGTTTAAACTTTTCCTTATTCTAAGCGGAACAGAAAATCGTGACGTTAAAATAACAAGGAAATGATAGAATTATGATCCTTTTAGTCATTTAACTTATTATTTAATTTAATTTCGTGATTTTCTGTTCTATCTGTGGGATGTCTTTGAAACAATATTCTCTTTGAAATTGTGACGTTAAAATAACAAGGAAATGATAGAATTATGATCCTTTTAGTCATTTAACTTATTATTTAATTTAATTTCGTGATTTTCTGTTCTATCTGTGGGATGTTTTTGAAACAATATTCTCTTTGTAGCCTACATTGAGCGTGAAAGTAAATGTAAGCTTCAAAAAACGGCATTACTTATGAGATTACCTGATAGAAGTTTGTCTTCTATTTTTCGATCATGCGACACTTGCTTTTAAGGACTCCCAAGTATTCGGACATTAGATTATCTGGATATCTTAGGTTGATTCCGATCCGAAAACTCAAAACTGGCACCATTCGAATCCTAGTTCAGACTACAAGAAGAGATTTGGATGTAGAGCCGGATACAGAAATGAGACCCAAAACTAGAATCGAGATTCAGAGAACCGAATTTGGATTCAAATTACATGAAGAAACAGATAAATAAATAAAAAAAAAAACAAATTTAATACAAAAATTATTCGAAATAATTATTATTTCTAAATATATAAATAGACACAATCGTCTTCTCGAGTTAAGTCATTAAATTGCAGTTAAAAAATATTGATTCGTTGAAACTGTTAAATTTTCCAGAGGGATCTGGAATGCTGCGCATGTGTCTGTTTGGTCGACTCTTCTGCGAATTTGGATTCGTATTGGAAGCTTCAATTGCTCGGCTCTGTATTATGAAAAATCTGAATCTCTGGATAACCCGAATTTGAAGTTTCACATTTATTTATTATCCGAATAATTGGCCATCTGGATAGTGTCCGAAGATATTGAAGATAGATCTGAAAAGATATTAAAGTCCTATTTCAAGCTGTAGAATGATATTGATTGGGAATTTGATGAAATATTTGGGCATTCAGAACGGACACATTGGGCACAATTTGTATCAATGATGGACGTTTAAAATTAAGTTTGTATATAAAATATACATATACATCGCAAACAGATCTCCACAAGACATCCTCTAAAGACATTCTGAAAACATCCCCGGGACATTCTTTAGAGATATTGTGCTGTCTAGAATACACATACACACACACATATGTATATATACATACACACATCCATACACACATACACACACACACACACACATTAAAAAAAAATATTTATATATACATCTCTACACATACATATTTCTTCCTCATAAGTTTCATAGTTTCTCATCATTGTGCGTATGTGTGTGCGCGTGTGTGTAGGTGGGACGCGTTTGTGAGCATTTCTCTGCTTTAATGTAACGTTCTAGTGAGCGAATCTCGACGAAATGGTACGGGATCTCCGAAAGACTCGATATCTAACGTAACGTGATAGACATTCGCTTCTATTAGCCCTTACTGGTTTTACAAGTCTTGTATCAGGTTTTGCAGGGACATAAATTGTTCTATAATATCCCTCCCGAAACCTTTCGAACCGAAAACTCGTACTCAAATGTTCGGACGTGGTAAATAATTTTTCTAGTATTTAATGCTCGCAGTTGTGTCGTCTTTCTAAGAACGAAATTCTAATTAGCGCCTCTTCATTGAATTTGCATAAGGCATCCTTACGCAGAAAAGGAAAACATATCAAGACTGCATAATTGATACTCGCTATATACTGCATATTCTAATCACTAGTTTGGAAATAATTTGGACTTTGATTTGGAAATAATCGAAGAGCGCTTCCTCTAAAATATCTGTCTTTCCCAGGGTTGGTTAATAACTGGTTAATCAGATGAAAAGTTAATAAGTTTTAGTTTAAGTCAGTTAATTTTGAACGAATTAAATTTTCAGCTTAAATTATATAGTCTTCTTAAAATGCATTAACTCTAACTTATTGATTCTTTTTATATAAATTGAAATAATTTATCAATATTGAAGTCATTGCAGGCTACTGACAATACAGAATACCAAACATCAAAAATAATGCCAGCAGAATTTCTTTTCGTCTCTCTGAACGCCAATGTTCTTGTCTCGTATAAAAGCCTAAGCAAGTCGGCATTTTCTTGTGAATGATTATCCTTGCATTATTTCACACAAATCTTATCTACAATCAAAAAATTAATTATGCAAGAAACATTACTTTATATGATTGACTTTTAACTTTATTAAATTAATTCTAACTCAACTTTTAATTAACTCATTAAACACCAACAATAACATTACATTATTGTTCTAATTTCCCACTCAACAATGTAACTGTTACATAACACACATATTATATCGCATTTACATTGTTGAATGGCAAATTATAATATTGACGTTACGTTAGTGCTAATAGTTGGTGTTTACTGTATTATTTCTTGTTTACTTAATTTTTAACTTAACCAAATTGATTTTATAAGCCATTAGCTTTAAACCTAACTTGATTTAAAATAATAAACTGAACTCAATCATTGTGTTTTCTACTGCGCTATATTGGTCCGACGCGACGTTTGTTTCATTTTCTATTTGGATCCTGTAGTAAAGTCATTGTCGCGCTATTGATATATGCTAACGACGTCTGAAACAATCGAGCAATATAACTGGTAGACGCGACGAGCAATGGCGGAGAAAAGATTTGACAAGTGTCTTTCGAAGACTGGATATACGAGCTATAAATTAGCGTAGCGTCCAAGTACGCGTGTAACTTGTATATATAATCCCGCCTCTCCAACTGTTTAACATTCATTACTTACCGTTCTATCGCGAACTTTTCTTCGAAGTCACGTACGCCCTAATAAAAAAGCTAATAAGTAACCGTAGCGCGTGGAGAATAAAAGAGAGGGGGAAAAAAAGAAGAAAAACAGATCACCGATGAGAGCTCGCGATTGATTTCCAACAGTCTGCTATATATTCCGCCAAAATATATTCGCATTTTGTACGAAGTACGAGAAATCGAGTTGCAAGACTGCTTTTATTCCTATCACAGTCGATCTTCATTGTGTCGCGGGCGCGGTCCGCGGAAGAGAATGCCCGGCGATCGGCCGTTTCTCGTTACCATGAGACCTCGCGTCAAAGCGACTTTAATTAATTAATAATACACACGCGTTGCGCACGTAAATCGGATCACGTAATTGTTAAGTAAACATGCGACTGAATAATCAACCTAAATTTTATTGTAATATTGCGTAATGTGTGTGAAGAAACAAAAAAGAAAAAAAAGAAGAAATACGATGCGGTAGGATGTATCTGGCGTGTCCCGTAACTGTGATTTTATAGCAAAAGAAAATAGACAAAAAAAAGAAAGAAAGAGGAAGAAACGAGGGAATATACCATATGTTGGGACGATTGGCCTTCTTCAGCCAAGTCACAAGATCGTAGCGCTAACTATTAACGTGTATACATCTACATATACAGGGTGTCCCGTTTTAATCGTTCCACGCGATTGTCTGAAGAAATTATTAGCGGTTATCGCGGAAAACGTAGAGAGATGTTTTGAAGCCACTTTGTTTCGAGGGGGAGACGTCTTCTTGTGGTTGGCGTAACTTTGTTCTACGCGGAATCGCTTTCGAGATACGAGAACGTCACCATCGTTTCTGTAGATGGAACCGTATGAACTTTCTTTTCCTTTACCCTTCTATGTTTTGCTCGTTTATTTCTTCTTTCTCTTTATGTTCTCTTTATACCAATCGAACTCTCCGGAAGAAAGCGTTTCGTTTACACATGTGTAAAATAGGTGAATAAAATTTAATCAGAAGTATAATCCGATCGATCTCTCGTTGCGAACTAACGACCAATATCTATTAATGCGACTACATCGAGGGAGAGAGAGGGAGAGAGAGAGAGGGAGAGAAAGAGAGAGTATGTTATTTCTCGTGTTTCTCAATCTATGGATATTACTTTGCGAAAATAAAGAGAGAATTACATTATCACAGCCGTGTTTGTACAATCGAAGATAGTATAATGTGATAGGTGCTCGACTCATATATATATATATACACACACATATATGTATAAAAATTCTAGGCTTTCACCCGCAAAATTCTCGTATTTTACGTACACGTACGACACTCACATTGTGTGACAAGGCTTGTAAGAGGAAGACGCCGAGACGGTCGCCACGTTTCGTCGTCATCTCGCCTCCTACAATTGGCTTCATCGACACGATCCACCGTTGGTACGGTAATATCCTAGAAGGCGTTAAAAGAGCACGCAATCTTGAAATTTCTTTTCGAAACGCGCCGAATCCTCTCCTCCACGCAACAATTTCTCTCTCGAAGACCGTGACTCTCTCGTGGTGTCTCTCCGGAGAAGAGGAAACGGCCTCGTGAGACTTCGATCGTAGCCACAGAGTCAGAGTTACTACTTCGAGCAGCACGTATATATCTCGTCGGTGTACCAACAATACACACACACCCTGCGACGGACGTAATTTCCATTGTGACAGCGCGAAAATTCATTACCGCCGTGGTATAATACGACCGAAGCTTCTGAAAATCGTCTCGCGCCCCAATCAGGAGGAAATCTAGAATACACCAACGATAATAACGTTAAAACAAAAACAACTACAAAATGAATGTTGCCTTTTGTTACATTAGTTAATTGTAAAAGACTAAGATACTAATGCATTATGCGCGATTAGTAACGTAATAATCTATATTGTATTATATATATATATATATATATATATATATATATATATATATATATATATATATATATATATATATATATACATATACGAGTACTAATATCGATCACACATTATGTACAACGTCGTGAAGATTTTTTCGTATGATTGTAAATGATATGTGTGTGTGTGTGTGTTGCGTTAATGTAACGCGCCCCTATATTGCAGTAGGGCTGTGAAATAAATCAACCAGACACTTGGCCGCCCCTGTGTGTGTCACTATCCCTGAGTGCATGCGCTGCAAAGATTAATAATCAGGGTTCGGTAAGTTAGTTAATTTTTTTAAGTTAAGTTTGAAGTTAAAGTGGCCTATAACATTAACTTCGTTACATTAAAAGTTACAGAAACCTAAGGTAACTTAATTAAAATTTAAGGTAAAATGTTAACGTAATCTATTAGAAGTTATAAATTAATTATACATTCAGAAAGACAAAAAGATTCTACTGTCATAATTTTTTATTTTTTTCCTACATTCAGAACAATCTGCAATAATTTTAATACTGATGAATTATTTTAACTTATATAAAAAAGTCGATAAGTTAAAGTTAATGTATCTTGAAAGTGGCTAGTTTAAGTTAAAAGTTAATCGATTTGATTGGTTAAGTTACAAACTTTGATTAACTACTTATTACTGATTAGTTATTACTCAATCCTGGTAATAATCAATGATGTTCGGGGACCTAGGGACACAAATCTCATCTTCGTAGAAATGCGTGCATATTTCTTTTTATTCTCAGTGCACCATAATAATTCACATAATTACAGTATAAATATTACTTCTACGCGAGCGAAGACGCAATGCCGATCGGAACAATTCCATTTCGCGTTCCATTCCGCGCGTTGGTTAATGAAAATACGCGGCGATAGTGTTCTTTAAAATAAAATCATATCGAATACATACACACACACGAGCGTGTACGAACGAGAGATAATTTTTCTCGGAAATTGTTCTTATCCTTAGACATGCATTTGGACGTTTCAAGATGTCGAGCTCGTCGCAGCATGATGATTATCGTGTTGTGACATGTTGGCTGCATGCAACACGCTGCGTTGCGTAGTGGAAGCTATCAATTCATTCATATTCACTGGCATAATGCCCTTGGATGAGTCGCGGAAGAAATACAGCATAAATCCTGCCGCCAATATCAGATGCATACCCAGAATCACGGCAACGTATATTATTCGATGTTTACCTGTAAATTCAAGCTACTTGTGATCTTATTTATAGGGAAATTATTAGAATATTTATAGAGAAAATTATTAGAATAATTTTTATTTCTTTATTGATTTTCTCTAATTGTCCTTTTCAATAAATGCCTAATTTTAGCAAATATTACAATTTATTATCAATATTCCTTACTAGTTTGAAATTATTATAGGTTTGTATTACATATTGTACAATTAAATTATATAAATAATGACGGATATATATTAGATTTTGTTGTAAGATATATTTTGCATATGTAAAGATAAATTTTTATATAGGAAATAGTAGGTTACTCTTATATACTTAGAAAAATATTTGAAAATTTATTTTTGGAATATAAAGTTTATTTCTGTGAAATAATCTGTCATTATTTATATAACTTAGTCGTACAATATGTGATACAATATGTGATAATGTTACACAATATGTGTAATCATTTTAAATCTAGAAAAAATATTGATAACAAATCGTAATATTTTCTGAAATTAGGCTTTTATTGAGAAAAAAACAATTACAGAAAATTAATGAAACAATCAAAATAATTTTTACACTTCTGTATGACACAATATGAGTCATCCAACGTTTCTATTTAAAGTTCTATTTTTCTTATTTTTAAAGAATTTCCAAAATTGCGAATAAAGAAGCACGCTGTAGTCTAATGATTATTTTTACGAACAAATTGTACATTCTAATGCAAAGATCACTTTTATTATCTTTTCTTCAAATAATATTAACTAAGTTCGATTAAAAAAAGTTATCAATTTTTTAAGTTAATGTTTTAATTAATTAAATGGGCTTCCTGGAATTTTGAAAAATTTTTTACATTCTTTTTGTAAATGTAAGGTTTTGGAAATACGTCCGTAAAGAAAGAAATTAAAATTCGAAAAAATGATAAAGTTATAAGGTGGAGAAGCAGAGCAGCGTAAACGTGAAATATTTGATATTTATAAGCTATTTATGCAGATATTGCGTGAGAAGAAACTTTAACATCTAATATTTTATATTTAATATCTAATATTTTTTTAGATCTGTTTTCTGATATGTATTGACTCTTTTAAATTTGGAAAAGTAACCGAAATTATAACGATGTTTATTACTGTAGTAGTCTATCATTTGTGACAGATATGAATACGAAAATGTTATGTACAAATTGAACGACAAAAAGAGACAAGAAGCTCATAATGCCAATCATGTATCGATGATATCGAAAAGTATCGTAGTATATCGTATTCATCGTGCAAAATACGATATTCTGACGCGTCGAGTGAAATAAAAATTATGCAAGCCGAGAGGAGATAATGGCACAAGAGGAACTTTTTGGAAAGTTAGAGGGTCTTTATTATTATGATCCCGGAGAATATATACGACTATATTTAGGTAAGTAAAAAGCTCTTATCTGTATTGAAATTGGAAGCAAAACTTTAAAGTTTTCTTGAAATTTTTTTCCAACTGATGCCTTAAAATTGTCGACCTTAATTAAATGATCTTCATCTAATTTTGCAGCATGTAAGATGGATGTCTTTTTATACCATGAATTACAACCAAAGTGATACATGTAAATTTGTTTTATTAACAAAAACGGTCTGTTTTTTCGTGTGTGAGTGTGTGTGTGTGTGTGTGAGAGAGAAAGAGAAATACATGACTTCTCACCTGCAATTACTGGCAGCAACGACCGCAGCAAGATCCCGCCGGATATAATGGTCGCTACTATAGCCAAGCACCATTGCAACCAGCGGATTTGGATTGTCCACAGAAATGTTACTGGGATATAAATAGTTAGAGAATATCCGTACAGGCACAAAAGTTCCAATATCCTTGGAGCAACGTAAGACTGAGAAATAAGAAGATTACATAAGGATATAATAAATAATATTAGAGATCACAAGGAAAATATGTAAAATGCATTATTTCATGACAAACTTCGATCAATTCTTCCTCAGTGTTTCTTGAGCTGTTTGTCCATTTTAACGCGCCCCATAGAGCCAATGGTAGTAGCCAAGCATACAGAAATATGCAAGTGGCTGCATATGAAACAACATGGAAATCGTATCTCCAATGAAATTTAGTGGAGCCAGCAGTCTGCATATAATCCGCCATGTTCCCGCTGATTGCAATAGAAAAGACCAGAGTCATGCATATCCAGAAGGGCCCGTACAGGTCTGGATTTGGCCTGATGTGCGTTATAAAGTAATTATCACGACCATGTGGTATCATGGATCGCTTGAGCCGTTCCAAGACATCACTTGTGTCAACATTGAAATACTTCTGATAGTACTCGATCGTCCAGAAGCTGCGTTGAGTGTCATCTAATAAACAGAAGTTCAACTTTAGATAAATTTTACTTAAACAAAGATTAGTTTTTAGGTTAAGTGCGACTAAATATTTATTCGAATTATTCGCGTAAACGACACGTGATTGTTGATGCTAAGTAAAAGAGAAGTATTTTTATAATTACGAACTTTCATTTTTATTGTGTATTCCTTGGAGATCTTCTATAATACCGGTGCCAGTGGAGTCGTTGGGGAGGTTATTGAATGACTGATGTGTGGAAGATCCGGTACCTAGTTGTCCTTCGGCGTTACTAGCCTGATTTATGGGCGCAAAATCGTGAAAGGATATAAACTGCGAATCCGTATTTTTCGACTGACTACCGTCCATCATTCCAGCGCACAGTTTCCCTGACAACTTTACTTTGACAACTATCAGCTGTATAGAGTTGGGGGTACGTAAACTTCCTCTCGTGGCAGTTGCTTAGCGCCATCTACGATAAAACACGAATTTGACTAAACTGAAATGAGGCACGTGATACGGAACAGGGGCGCGCGTTATATTTAAACCGGAATTGGGCGTTTACGTGTAAATTGTGATATTTTATGCACCTATGAAATAATATTAAAAATCAGTCTACGGTAAATTTTCTAATGAGTAGTTCCCGAAGAGTCAGGAAGTAATTAAAAAAGAATGATATTGTATTTAGTTTTAGTTATTTTTAGTTAAATATATTTTTTAGTTATAATTGTCATTTTCAATCATAAATATATCTTTTTCAATTATATTTCATAATATCATTTTAGTTATAAATATGTTATTATTATCTAACATTTTATTATATTATTATTATTATTATTATTACTATTATTTTTATTATTTTATTATATTATTTTATTATAAATATAAATATCTAGACATTTAGTGTGTAATAGTACTAATCATAAAATACTAACTTATTTATAATTTATAACCCTATTAATTTTCTAGTTATAATATATAACCAGGATTAATTAGATGCATTTCAAAATTACGTCTACACTTTGTTTATCTATTATCTACATCAATGCTGGAAATTAGCACTATTACAATTAGTACAAATCGAAAATGTGGTATTTATTCCTAAAAAAAGCATGTAAAAGATTTAATTGTTGCTGCTTTTCCGCGCTAATTCTTAGCTCATTTTATGTGGGCTGTAGCTTGCCTTGTGTCGTTTGCGCCTGTCAAACTATAGCTGGCAAATAGCTGTTATCGCGTCGGTTAGATCACGAAGAAAAATTACAGAAGAAATATGTCTCTCCCTGTTTCTCCTCGTCTCTCTTTGTTTCTTCCTGTCTTCCTATCTCTCATTGTCTCTCCTTATTTCTCCCTGTCTTTGCCTGTCTCTTCCTGTTTCTCCCTGTCTCTCTCATTATCTCCCTGTCTCTCCCTGTGTCTCCCTATCTCCCTGTCTCTCACTGCCTCTTCCTGTCTCTTCTTGTCTCTCTCTGTTTCTCTCTGTCTTTCCCTGTTTCTCCCTCTCTTTCTCTGTCTTTTCCTGTCTCTCCTTGTTACTCCCTATCTCTGTCTGTCTCTCCCCAGGCAGCAACATGACGTGATTTTCACGTCAATTTTTGGTCATTCGTGACGTCAATTATCCTTTTATAATCACGTAATAATGACGTGAAAATGACCGGAATAAGTCACAGTCTACCGACGTCACATTAAAACGTGAAAATGACATCATAAAGAGACGTAAAAATGACGTCTCGGAATATCCTTATTCGGTTCTATTTTGTAATAGAAACTATTTGTATAAATATCACAGCGTTTGCAGATTTTACTTGAAAATTTTACTTGATTCCAATGTTACATCACATTTAAAAATTCTCACTGGCACTGAGACTCAAACTTGGACCATGAGACATCTCTGGATTATAAGTCCGTTGCTTTAGACACTACACCACTTTTTCGATCGATATAAACGTTTTACATTTTATCTATATGTGTTGTACTTAACACAGTGTAATATAATTTTTTGATAATATAATTTAATAAAAGATTTAATTTTAATAAAAATTATATTTTTCGTACTTTTATTGTTAATTTAAACTCTAGCTCTCTCTAATGAAATAAGACCTACGAAATCCCGCACATTCCATTTCGTTATCTTTAAATTTTTATAGTAAATATTTTTTTATTGTTAACTGTTATTAAATAGACAAAGTCATAAAAGACTATAAACTTTGAGTAATTATAAAAGAGTATAATTTAATAAAAGAAAAAATTTACCTTACCATATAAGATTTAATTAAATTAATTAAATTTATGTATATATATAAAAATATACAAATTAATCCAGATAAGATCATCTGTGAGAAATCCATCGACGTGAAAATGACATGAGGTTGCTTCCTGGGTCCCTGTTTCTCCCTGTCTCTCCCTGTCTCTCCCTGCCTCTCTCTGCCTCTCCTTGTTTCTCACTATCTCTCCCTGTTCCTCCCTTTCTCCTTCTCTTTTTCTCTCCCTCTCTCTCACTGTCTTTTTCTCTCCCCCCTCATTCACTTATTTAGGCATATGACTTTATTTTTCTTTCTCACTCCACTTTATTCTGCTAATCCCCTATTTTCCTGATTATTTTGCTGCAATATTTCGTTATTACTATGCATTTTATTACTTTCATATTCCTCTTTTTAACTTTTTTACACATCCCCTTTTTTGTTCTCTTGGTTTTTTACTATCTCATCCTTTTATTGATTCCCTTTTTATTCATGTCTCTCCCTAACTCTCACTGTCTCTTCCTGTCTCTCCCTGTCTTTCTCTGTTTCTCCCTGTCTCTTCCTGTCTCTCCCTGTCTCTCCCTGTCTCTCCCTGTTCCTCTCTCTCTTTTATCATATGAAATTGTATGTGGATAATTAGGAGATCGAATATCTTCGATTGCATTTGCGCATCCAATAGGAAAATTAAGTGTTTATAATATTATTAAAGACATTAAACATGCAGAATAACGATGAAAGTTTTAAGTTCCATATATTTAAAGCCACTTACAGGAAAAAAATGGAAAGCAGCTGGATTTTGGAAGCGTTGGAATTTTCCAAATTGTCTTGAGCGATTGATGGAAAACATTTCACTGTCAAAATACTACCAAATTCCGATAACCTATATTTTAATTATAAAAACTTTTTTAGTATTGTGCTACTAGCTATATGTGATGATTAGTACAAATTTACAATAGTAGTCTGTGGCGCGTATGGTAATGAAAGCGATGGCATATATTTACACAATCTGATTTTGGAAAATGCTTAAGAGTGTAGGATAAAATAGATTTTTCATGTAAAAAAATAAATAAAATTGTAGAATTATTTAGTTTATATAAATAATGCTTTAAACAAAAAATGTTACATAAATACTTATAATATTCTATAATACATCTTGTGTATAGTATATTATTTTTCCTATATTCTCAGAATATACGAAATTCATTATAATTAATAATATTCGGTTTATTTATTGGATATATTCTCGAGATATACTAAAATTATCAGCAATTCCTATTTATTATAATTAATAATATTCCGTTTATTTATTGAATATTTTGAAATATATAAAGCATTTATATATTTCATGTAAAATCTAAAAAAATAGGATACAGAAAATGCTTCGAAACATTTGAAGCTACGAGGGTGGTCTGAAAAGTTTCCGACCTCAACGTGAAGATAGCAGCACTTGTAAATAAAAGCTAGTGAATTTCGTTGTTCATCTGTTGACAGTTACTCACCGAAGTTTCAGCCATTTTGGACTCGCAGTTGTTATGTAACAGTCGTTTGAGTAAGTTGATGTGAGTGTTTTTGTGAAAATGGACAAAATCGAGTATCGAGCTGTCATTAAATATTTGTTTTTGAAAGGCAATACGCCTACGCAAATCAAAGATGAGTTGGATTCTGTGTATGGGGACTCTGCACCATCATTTACGACAGTGAAATTTTGGGCCGCT